TTGTGCTGAACCGTGGAGGGGGCTGACTTTAAACAAACTCCAGTCGCCTTTCTACCGGCAAAGGCTCTTTCGAGAATCTACCCCACCCCACCCACCCTTTGGGCCTGGAACCCAGAGCCCTGTGTGGGCTGAGCAAGTAGTCTGTACTTAGCTACTTGCCAGGAGTGTTGTTTGTTTGTTTTAGTGTTTGAAACAGAATCGTGAACAGGCTGGCCTTGAACCTGCAATCTTCCAGTCTCGGCTTCCCAATTAGCCGCAACTGTGTGCAAGTAGCTGAGATTATATGTTTGTGCCACCGTGCCCAGCTGAGAGTCCCTTTTATTGCTGCTGAATTTTGTCTGTCCATCTATTTATCAGCATCCATCAATCATTCATTCATCCATTCATCTCTCCTTCTACTGTTCACTCATCCATAGACCATCCATCTGTCTGTCTGTCCTTCCGTCTGCATTTTTTCACCCATCCACTCATCCCTCTGCCCATTTGTCTTTCTCCGTCATCCACTCATCCATCCATCCATCCATCCATCCATCCATCCATCCTTCCATCCGTCCGTCAATCCCACCGTCCTTCTGTCTGTCCATGCATCTATCCATCTACCCACCCATCGATCCATCCATCCATCCATCCATCCATCCATCCATCCATCCATCCTCCATCTATACACCCTGCAATGTGGTCTCTCGGTAGCTTGTTCTGGGCCCCATTCTGGGCTCAGAGACAACACAGACTCTCAAGGCTCAAGCCCTCGACTGAGCTGACTCTGGCCTCTCTCAGTTGTGTGGCTTCAGGGTCTTCATGCGCCTGCTGGATCTGGGCCTCTTCCTGCAGAATGGGAGTGGTGGCGCCCATCTGGAAGGAGACTAGCATCTGGGGATGACACGCGGTATGGGGCTAGTTGGAACAATATTACACTGTAGTCCAGTAAGTCTGGGGATTCCTAGGGACCTGGGGGGAACTTGATGAATGTGAGGCCTTTGGCTATGGGTGCTGGGGACCAAGACATGTACATTTTTAGCAGGTGTCTTCTGGTTCTACTTCAAGAAATCAGTCGTGGGTTCTAGGAGACAAATGGCCTTCCCCAACACCCTCCCCCCACAACCCAGCCATTCACAGACTTTGCTCCACCAGGTGTCCCTGGATCTCCGCCAGCACCTACAGGACACTATTTTGGGGCAGATGAGGGTGGAGTTTCTGGACCCTGAAGGCATCTGGGAAGCTAAAATGAACTCATAAGAGTTGGGGTGGTTTGGGCCAAATAAGCCTTTTCCAAGAACCTTTCTTTTTAAGTTGTCCATGTTGTTGTTGTTGGTGGTGGTGGGGTGTGTGTGTGTGTGTACTTGTGTATGTGTATATGGGCACACGTGTGGGTAGGGGTGTACTTGTTGTGTGAGTGTTGGGAATGGGGTAAAAACACAAGAACAAATCCCCTGAATCTGTCTCTTCAATCTCCATCACACTTCTTGGATGAAATCACCCTGAGTCCATTTCACAGTAGAGCAAATGGAGGCACAGTGACTTCGGGGATCCAGAGCCCCCTCATTGGGTAGGCTTCTGAAGCCCCTTTGAGATTTTGATGGGTCACTGTATTATTCAGCTGTCCCCTCCCCTTGGATCTGTGCACTCATGTACAAGGACGAAGTGTGTATGTCCACATGGATTAGACACTTCATGTATGTGTGTGAATGGCCACATGCCATGGGTGTGTATATGCATGCACGTGTCTCCATGTCCTACCACACACACATGTGTCTCCAGGAGCATGTGTCTCCATGTCTCACCACACATGTGCCTCCAGGAGCATGTATCTTCTGAAGGGGCTGGCATGAGTTCTCTTGAACACTTGTCTGCATGAAGCTTCTGTTGGTGTCCTTGTGTTTGCAAGGGAAAGTGTGACTCTGTGTGGCCCATACATGTCTGTACTGTGTTTGCACATGTGTGTATCTGTCACAGGAGGGTGGTCCCAATGTGAGCTCTGCTGTCCCCACAGACAGAACTCCGTGCTTCCCATATGGACTGGTGGCTGGGGTACCTGAGCAACAGGAGCCCCACTCTCTCCCCTCGAGTCCCCTCCTCTTTCCTCTCCTGTCCCTCTTCTCCTCACAACCACTTCCCTACCTCCTACATTCTTTCTTCTTTTTTCTCCCTTTCCCTGTCCCCAGCTGCGGTCACAGCTTGTCTTCAGAGAAGCAAGGAGCGAACCCTCCCCACCCCAGCTTCCAGGACCATTCTAAACAGGCCTCTTCACAAAACCCAGAGATGGGGCTGCTATTTTAACGCCACCCCAGCATAGTGCTCTGGATTTTACCACAGCCAGGACACCCTGGAGGAACAGAAAGAGAACCTGACACCTGTGTGGACTGAGGTCGTGTCCACCCCCCCACCTCCCCCACCCCGGCCACCCCCCAGCTGTGTGACCTTGGGCAAGTCCCTCGACCTCTGTCAGCATCCTGATGGGACAAACAACACCTTCTAGGACCCTTGCCGAGAAGTTGCTGTGAGGGTGTTTATTCTGTGTATTCCAGTGCTGGCGAACCAGCAGGAACTAGGCAAGCGCTGATAGGTTTGTTTAAAATCCAAACAACAAAAACCCACACAAAAACTACGATGTTTATCTGGCCAAGGAAGTAGAGACTAAATGTGGCTCTGTCTAGAGCAGTGGTTCTCAAACTTCCAACGCTGCGACCCTTTAACACAGTTCCTCATGCTGTGGTGACCCCCAGCCGTAATATTTTCATTGCTACTTCATAACTGTAATTTTGCTACTGTTATGAATCGTAATATAGATATTTGATATGGGACCTCCAAGGGGTCATGGCCCACAGGTTGAGAACCATTGGTCTAGCATGTATTCATGAACCTGGAGGATGTTCTGAGCCAGCCCGTGGCTCCATGGCTATTCGCAGGACACAGCCCTGGGTTTCAAAAGAAAAAGGAAAAAGGCTGAGAGAACATGCAGGCCCAGCTCACCACAGTGCCTGGCATTCTGGGTAATGGGGTTTTTCTGCCTTTTGTTGATCTGAACTCTCTAAATTCTCCACAGTGAACAGCTAGCTCTAATGAAGACCCGAGTGCTGTAGGGCAAAGGGGAGAGAAAGCCGGCCGTCTTGCAGGAAACTTCGATGACCACAAGGACAACCGAACAGGTTCCTGTCATTGTGCCCATTTCAAGTGGCTCATTCCGCCCATTGCCCATCCGCCCCCACCCCCACCTCACCAGTGTTAAAACGGGACAACTCCCTCATCTGAGCTTGAAGGACAAGGGACCCAAAGGCAGGGCATGGCCATTCATTTTCATAATGTTTCTGTCTTTCTGGTCTTTCTGTCAGACCCAAGTTGGAAGGGACCGAAAGAAGCAGTCTCTCTGACACCAACTTTTTCAAGTTGGGAAACGGAGGTAGAAAGGAGTGAGGTGCTTGTTTTGAGGTGTGGCCTCAGGCCTCCTAAGTCATATTCAGGGGCTTGATATGCAGTCAGTGGGCAGATGCATGAAGTCATGGGTTCGATCCCCAGCACCACACACATCAACTGGAGTGGGGCATGCCTGTAATCTCTGTGCTAGGGAGGTCTTGCCACAGGTTCGAGGCTAGCCTGGGTTATATAGCAAGACTCTGTACCCCCAAACAAAATAACAACAAAAGTCCTAGCCAGCTCTTTCTAGCTAGTCTTTTTTTTTTTTTTTTTTTTCCTGAAGACAGGAGGTGCTTCGGGAGACTTGGAGAATCACAGGCCACTCCCCACGGCCCTTCATAACAGCTTCACAGACAACTGTGCCTGCTGCTGTATGCCATAAACTGTACCCTTTTCTGCTGTTTACAGCCGCCTGGGATCATATTCAATATAAATGGGGGTGAAACTAGAATCCCACCCTACCCCCTCCCTCTCTAAGGTCTCACTACGCAGCGCAGGCTGGCCTAGAACCTACGCCTCCTGCTTTAGCTTTGCGAACATTGGGACTAGAGGTGTACTCCAGCGTGTTCATTCCGCAGTCATCCCGAAGGCCTACTACGTGCTAGACGGGCTTGTGACTACATCAAAGCAGGAGAGAACACCCTCCACCATAGAAAGGCACAAAGTGGGGCCAGCGGGAAGGCTCGGCTGGTAGAGCTGCTTGCTGCCAGAGTTCTAGCGTAGGGACCCACACGGTGGAAGGAGACAGCTGACTCCCAACATGTTGTCCTCTGACCTCTGCACACACATCATGGCACACACACAAGAACAAAATTAAAAAAGAAACCACCAGGGGCTCAGCAATTAGGAGCACTGACTGCTCTTCCAGAGGACCCAGGTTCAGTTCCCAGCACCCATATGGCGGCTCACAACTGTCTGTAATTTCTGTCACAGGGGATCCGACACCCTCACACAGACGACATACGTGCACACGAAACATCAGTCACATAAAATAAAAATAAACAAATCATTAAAAGAAAAGGAACCAAAACCCAAACTAATGCCCCTAGAGCCATGGTTCTCAACCGTCCTAAAGTTGCGATCTTCCTCATGTTGCGGGGACTCCAATCACAACATTTGTTGCTACTTCCTAACTGTAATTTTGGTATAGTTATGAATCCTAAAGTAAATATCTGTGTTTTCTGATGGTCTTAGGTGACCTCTATGAAAGGGTTCTCACTGCCCTGGTGCATGGGGACTGGGACCTTATACCTGTCAAGATGTAATGTTGGGACACCTACCCTGACTCTCAAGATACTAGATTAAAAAAAAAAAAGACCACACAGAGCTGAGGGAGAAAAGATTTTTTTATTAATCTTTCTTTTTTAAAAAAAGTTGACTTTTTGTTATTTTTTTGTGGGTTTTTTTGTGTGCTTTTTTGGTAAACCTCTTTCTGACTCCCCTTCCCCACTCTGCCCCACCCTCCTCTTAAAAATATAAAAATGTCCAGACCCAGATAACTAGAGTACAATAAATAAACAGTAAACACAAAAACATACTTTATTTGTTTCTTCTTTATACAAAATAAGGAAACTAGGAGCGTCCGACTTCCAAAAAAGTATAGTTTGTCCTGATGGCCCAGCCTCCAGGCCCCGGGCAGGGAGAGTGATCCCTGGGCAAACGCCCAGCGACTTGGCGCCCGGCTCAGGGACAGAGCAGGGGTCGGAGGGTTCGAATCCTGCCCAGCCCTCAGGCTCAAAGTATGGAGGAGCGGGAGAGTTGGGCCCAGGCTGGCCCAGTCCTGACCGCACAGTTTCCTAGACAAACTGACCTTGAGCCTCAAGATTCGCCACCAGGGGGCGCCAACTCGCATGTGGATTTGTCTTCCCGCAAAGCCACCATTCACCAGCGGTTGTCTATTTTTCTTCTCCGGCTGAGGCTTTCCTCTTCTTTCTCTCCCCTCTCCCTTTCAACCTCTCTCTTTATTACCTTTTTTTTTTTTAAGAGAAAGAGTGAGAAATAAGATTTCACAATGGCCTCGGCTTGCAGGGAGGGGCTGCGCCACGGTCTCCTCTCCTTGGTCCCAATCCCCTCTTAGTTCAAAGAGGTGATGTGGGCGGGAGGAGGGGGGGGGTCCCGCGGGCGTCTAAGGTGTGCTTGGAATCTCGACCCTCCAGAATATTGACTTTGGTCCCAAGAAATTGCGCAGTCGCGCGCCGAAGCTCTGAAGGGTGGAGATGCGAGTTGCCGGGTGGGTGCGAATCCAAAAGAGGACTCTTGAGAGTGACCCAGGAAGCGTTCAGGGCTCGATGACAGAGGGCGGCCCGGCCCCTTGGCCTTACCAGACGGCCGCCTCGTTGAGCTCGGGGTTGGGGTGCGACAGGGGTCCGCTGTAGCCGCTGGTGCCGCTCATGGGGAAGGGCGGGCTGGGCCCGTCGCTGAACACCTCTCCCGGCATCGGGTGCAGCGCTCCGGGCAGACCAGGCTCCGGGCTAGGCGTGTCCGGGTGCGAGATCATGTCGGTGAACCTGGGGTTGTCCGCACCGTGCGGCCCGGCCAGTGGCGGTTCCAGCGCGCCCAGCGGCGTCGAGCCGGGTCCCGACGCTGCCAGGAAGCTTGAGTCGGCCGGGGACTGAGCCTGCGATGGCGGGCCGTGAGCGAAGAAGTCGTAATTGCCTCCTGGGGTGTAGTAGTCGCTTTGGTAGTCTGCGGGAGGGACAAAGGATAAGACGTGGCGTGAGGACAAACTGCTAAGACCGACAGGGATTCAGGGACCTGGGAGAGGTGACCCGAGGGCGCGAAGGCCATGGCACATGGATAGGCCTGTGGATACAAATATGCAGAAGGCGCAGGAAAGCATGCCACTGGCCCTAGGTTAGACCTAAGGAGGCCCTCAGAGGCTCCGGGAGGAAGCCTGAGACCCTGGGGACGGAAGGCCGAGGAGGGCCAGGAGTAAGGCTGGAGAAGAGGCAGAGAGAAATACGCAAGGACGGAAGGCCGAGGAGGGCCAGGAGTAAGGCTGGAGAAGAGGCAGAGAGAAATACGCAAAGGCCGGCCGAGGGACTAGAACTTACAAGGACGGGGAGCAATGAGGGACATGGGCAGTGAGGGAGGGAATAGCAGGTTTCCAAACACGCGGAGATGGGAGAGAGCCTGCAGGGGTCAGAGGTGCGGAGCCAAGGGAAGACTTAGTGAGAGATGGAGGGATGAACATGGAGACAACGACCGGCAGCCCCGGACGTGCCACCGCACCCCAACAGCCAATTCCACTGAAGTAAGAGAGAGCGCAAGGACAGGAAGAGAGAGTCAGAAAAACAAACAAAAACAAACAATAAGCAAGCCGTGGTGAGGGTACGGATGAGCCCAAGAAAATGAGACCAGGAATCGCCTTAGACTCGGCTGCAAGACTTGGAGAGGAACGCGGGAACAAAGTGGCTGCCGCAGCTCTAAACACCAAAGGGGTTCCGACCCGGAACGCGGCCCCAGAGGGAGAAGCGGGACCAGGTCAGCTGCCAAAGCTCAAAAAGGCGGCGGGCAGGGGGCCTTGACCCGGGGCGAGCAGGGCGCAGAGCCAGGGGCAGCCTTGGCGTCTGCTCTCCTCCCAGTGGAGACCGGACCGGAGAAAGCCAAGCTCAGCGACTCCGGAGAGGGGACCCCAGTTCAGGACCACTTGCGGATTCCTGGGGGGCGAGGGTGCCTCGGGTCTCCACTCTCTAACCAGAGGAGCTTTCTAGACGCCCAGGTTATTTTGAAGTATTTGGGGACAAAGACCTTTGGAAGAGTTGGCACAAATAAACGAACATTCTTCCCACAAATTCAGGGATTCAGGACTCAAGGGTCAGGAGCTCAAACCGCCACAAGAAATTGCTTCTGCTAATACTATTATCCCCACTCCAGATCGCCCCCTCCTGGATTGGGGTGCAGGACCACGACAAAAGGAGTGTGCCTTAAGCCTATTGGGGGGACAGTACCCGCTTTGAACAGCAACAGCGGGGAAAACCGGCCTCTCCGAGGCCAGGGTTTCTTTGGAACTCCACTCCCCTTGTTCAGTCCCATGGTCCGATTGTACAGTCGAGTTCTGGATGTCCAGGTCACCCACTTTTTTTTTCCTTTACCGAAATCTGAAATCTATCCAAATCGGGGATGGGGGTGGGGTTGCCTGGAGACCTGCTTGGAGTGGAGGCAGTTTAGGTAACAGCTAAAACGGCCGCCAATTACTTTTTGAAAAATCTCAATTCCATTCTGCTCGAAAGTTTGGGAGGTTGAGAGATACGAATTTGGGGGCACTCAAAGGAACGGAAAGGGATCGCGCTAAGCAGGGAAGGCCGCGGCCCTGGAGCCGTGCGCGCCGCCTCCGCCCATATGGCGGCCGGGCCGGAGGTAATTGGAACAAACGCTGTCTGAAAAGGGCACAAAAGCCGCAGCTGGGGCTTTGTCCGAGCTCCCACGGGGAGCCGCGGGCCCCGTCACCCGGCCCCTTTCTCGCCCGCTACCGGCCGCCGCCACCGGCATCTCCCAGTGCGGATTAGGCGGGGCTGCTGGGCTGGGGGCTGAGGAGTCCCCCGTCCCGTTTTCGGAGAAAAAAAGGGGTTCTGGTGTTCTGTCCCCCACCTTGTCTCGCAGGCTTTCAGAGAGAGGGGTTGGCAGGATGAGTTAGGAGTGGGCTGGTCCCCCTGAAAATCTTGATTAATTACTCAGGTTGCGGCAGAGGCTTCCAGGCGGGTACCGCCCCCACTATCTCCGGGCTTCGGGTTGAGATTTTTTTGTGCGGAGGACAAGCTAGGCGGAAAGATTAGACGTCCTAGGACACGCCCATCACCGTACAGTTCCGGCTCCCCCAACCTGGATCCCCGCTACCATGTTAAAATCACTGGTTCACTCTCCTCCCCCCTCCCCCCCAGCAATTTCCAGGAACCTCGGCCTAGTCTGCAGATAAACTTCCCAGGCTTCCGCACGTGGAATTCCGGTCAGGGGTCCTCTTTCTACGGGGTTGTAGGGCTTCCATCGCCTTTCCACCCTGGGCATTGTCCCCGAATCCACTGCTAGCCTCACCAGCTGGGTTTGGAGACCCTAGCAGACCAGTAATAACTCAGTGAGACTCTCGGTGACTCCACAGATCGGAAAGGCTCGGGAATTCAGACCAGTGAATTCTCTGCACGGAGGAGAGCAAACGGGGCAGGCTTGCAGCCCCTCACTTCCCCCAGGGAGCAGGCCAGGCTGGAGGAGCTGGGAGGAAGATGGGGTGCTGGGATAGGACACTAGTCCTGGGGAGCAAGAGAAGAAAGGATCTGAGCAAGCAGGCTTGAGTTTATTAACGACGTCAGGAACGTCGTCGTTTGTGCAAACCAACGGGTCGTTCTCCCTAGACCCAAAGATGGGCCCGGAGATGATCGGAGCATCACCTCCCCCTGCCCCATTCTAGACCAACCCTTTTACTTGAACCCGAGTGGACCCTAGATCCATACAGGCGTTTGAGTCTTCAGCGCGCGGAATCCAGGGTGTCTCTAACAGAGCAGAATTGCTTGCTACCTTTGAAGTCAGTTTCGAGAAGGCAGAACCCTTCTCCCCTGCCTCAAACTGGTAAGGAGTTCCAGCCTTCCCTAAGTTCACCAGGCTACCGGCAGTGGTTAATGGAAGTAAGGCCAAGTGGGCGGCGAAAGGTACTTGGCGTTTTCGGGTGCTGCCCCAGTATGACCGAGGAAGTGTGTGTAAGTGTGTTTGTAGGACTCTCCTGAGCGTAGTGGACCACACCTGTGTGGACCTTACGTCTGGTTGTTTCACTGAGGTCTCATTGCGAGCGGGTGTGTATGTGAGTTCAAGTGTCCTGTGTGGGTGTTCCTGTTCAGGAGTTACCTGTGGGTGAGTAGCCTATGCTAATGAGTCTGTCTAGGAAAGGCTTTGTGTATATCCGGCGTGGGTGGGAAAAAATAAAGACTGCCCTACTGTGGCCCCAAACGCTAGGAGGCCCAGAAGAGCTGTGAGCCCGGGCCGAGTTGCAGAGCGCCCCTTACCTCCGTAGTAAGTGTACGGGGTGGACCCCAACATCTCAGACTCGTCCAAGCGGCCGCCCAGGGGACGCATGCGCCGCGGACTCCGGAAGAAGGCGTGTCTCCGTGCGCCCAGAGCGCTCAGCTGTTTCATGCGGCGTTCTTTGGACCTTCGGTTCTGAAACCATACCTGAGGCGAAAGAAAGGGCAGTGAGCTTGGGGTCAGGAGTGACCCCCCCCAGCACACTCCTGCTGAGGTTGGCCCTGCTGGGTCCTAGCGCCTTGGGCATACCACGACTCCCCCGAGGCGAGGGCTGGGACGGATTAGTCCAGGAGGGGCGGAGAGGGGCTTCGGCAAACCAGCCAAGGGTGAAGGATTTCGCGGACCCGTGGGGTGACTCATAAAGGCTCCAGCTTCCTGGCCCTCGGCTTGCCCGCGGCCTGACGGCTTTATAAAAGCCTCCTACCCCTTCAGGCCCTCGCCCGCGGCTGCGGAACCAGGCCCCCCGATTGTCGCTTTGCCAACGCTAGAGCGCGAGGACATCGCCCCTATCTATGTTGGAGAGGAAGGGGTCCTGGAGGCCGGAGAGGCTTAAGTCATTAGCTGGTCAGGGTGGGGTGAAAGGGTGGATGAAATTCAGAGAGGTCTGGAGATCTCGTCCAAAAAAAAAAAAAAAATCACATTGCCAGGACAGTGGGACAGTATCAGTCTTTTAGCTCAAAAGTCCTCTCTTCTAAAGGGCGCAGTAATGGACTTCCCCCTACGCCAGGCTCCGAGGGTTCAAAGGCTAGGCTGCCCAACCCGAGCACGCCTGCTGGTTGGGAGGGTTGGCCCGCCGGCCGTACCTGAATGACCCTCATGTTGAGGCCGGTTTCCTGTGCCAGCTGTTCGCGGATGTGGCGCGTGGGCTTGGGCGTGGCCGCGAAGGCCGCCTTGAGCGTCTCCAGCTGCTTGGCTTTGATGGTGGTGCGCGGGCCCCGCCGCTTCGTGCCGGAGTTCTGTTCCTCGTTCTCGTTGTTAGCGGTCTCCTTGTCCGATGAGGTCGAATTGTCGGTCTCTTTGGGGTCGTCCTGTAACGGGTCCTGGAGGTCCGGGGACAAACTGCGGTCCGTACAGGATGACACTGCGGAGCGGACGGATTGGGGGACAGTGGCATCAGCGCGATCTGTCTCCAGTTCAGAAACCCGTTTCTGAAGACCTCTCTGCCCCAAGCAGTCACACCCCTCCCCCGGAATCGGCGTCCACCCACTCCCCCCAGACTAGGTTTGGTTTGAGTCTTCTCAGAGCCCCCCAAATTTGGAAGCTCCCGGGGAAGCGGGGCACACCCTCTGGAGAACCTTTTCTTCGGGAGTGGGGACACATTGTAGCGTCTCACCTCCTCCCGCCCAGTCTCGCCTTCTTCCAAATAGCGTAAACCTGCTGGTCCTTCTAAAATTTACCAGGACCTCAAAAGACACTGAAGGGTTTTTTTTTTTTCCAGTTCTAAATTGGGGGAAGGCGGGAGAAGAGCCTGGTTTAGGGTTCTCCTGTAGAATCGGCTCTGCCTCTCCAGCCCTGAAGCAGCCCCCAAAAGATGAATCCTGGGCTGAATTTAGCATAGCCCAGAGCAAGCGCGGGGTGACGGTTGAGAGTGCCGGGCTGGTTGCTGGAGCCCGTTTGCGTCAGGAGGAATGCTGGGAAAGGAAAGAGGCCTCCATACCTGAGTTGAGGCTTCCTTCCTTGAGGCTGGAGGAGCTCAAGTAGTCGTCCTTGCACACAAACTTGTTTTCGTCGATCACGTAGAGTTCCTCTCCGGTGGACAGCTGCTTGTTACACACCATGCAGGTGAAACAGTTGAGGTGGAAGACTTTGCTCCGGGCCTTGCGCACCAGGTCACTGGGAGAGATGCCTTGCGCACAGCCAGCACACTTCGTGCCAAAGCGCCTGTGGATACAAGGCGCCTGTCACTGTGAGGTGGGGAGGTGGGCCTGGTGTCCAAATCCTCTTCAGTGCTAACTAACCTCTTCCCTCCCGCCCGCTGTGGTTTCCCAGCTACCTCCATGTCCATATCTGTCAGATGGAAGCCTAATTCTGCTCTCCCTAATCAGAGCTGGTTTAGGGCCAGGTCGTCCTGCTTTTAGGGTGTTGATTCAAGGTCCATGGTGCTGTGACCAGAAGAGGTGGGAGAGCAGCCTTGAGACAGGGTGTCCCAAGATACATTCCCTGCCTTCAGGTCCCCACCTGTTTCAGGAGCCCATAAAGCATTTAAAACCTGTAGGCCAGGTTTCCATCATTCTTAGCTTTGCCCTCTGGATTGGGAAGGGGATGTCCCAGATAGGACCACTACTGTCTGTCTCTAGCAGCAGGGTGGAGGATCCAAGCAGAAATGAATGCCATAACCTTCCTCTGGCTTCTGGTGCTACCTGCGAGACCTGCTGGACACCCCCCCCCCCCGCAGGAGCTGGAGATAAGAGGCTCTCAGAGGAGTAAGTTCTGGAAACAGGAAGTCAGTTTCTGTACACACAACTTCCTCCCCCATCTCTGGCCCTGGCAGGCGGCGGAGGGCAGGAGAATAGGAACAGAAGCTTGCTTCACTTAAGTCCTCAGCTGGGACCTGGGATCATTCCAAAGCCCCCTTTCCCTTGCCTCTGACCAATCTCCTTTCTTTCTTCCTTGGACTGTGGAAGAAAGTACCCCCCCCCCACACACAATAAGTACAAGAAGGGGTAGAGGTTGTGTGGGGAGTAAGAAGAGGGCTCAGTACCTTGGGGGGAACCCCCCATCCTCTCACACCCATGTCTCTAAACAGAGTGAATTTGGGTGACATTGATGTAGTGAGGGCATTAGAGACCATAAGTCACTTTTGGCCTTATCCGGCAGCATAATTGGCTATATACACCTTATCAAAAATCATTAGGTGCTTCGTAAGCGTGCCACATTAGGGGCGCCAGGGCCTCCGGGGCCGGGGAGTTTACACGTGTAAAGGCGCGGCTGACATTTTCTCCTATTCAAATTCCCAAGTGCCCAGCCACTGGGGCAGGCGGCTGCCTTTCTCCTCTGGTGAGCTAATCACGCCCCCTCAGTGCCTGGAATTCAGACTTACAAAGCCTGTCAGGGTGCAGAAAGAGCAACCATCGAAAACACTACAGGTTTCAAGGCTGCTCCTTAGCATTTCCCATCTGGGGAAACTGAGGCCCACAGAGGCACTGGGTCCTGGACTGTGTGTGCTATGGATTTGGGAAGGGAGGTTGACACATCGCAGAACAGACCTGCTGATTCTCAGCCTCCATTTCTTCAGTACCTTTCCAACTAGGGAGAAAATGGATCGGGGTGGGGGTGGGGGGCAAGGGAAGGTCCTCGGTCCCTCATCTCTAGAAGAGCCCTTCCTGCCTGGGCCCTTTGGAACTGGGAAGTTTCTGTTCGTCGTCAGATTACCCTCTGGGCTCAGGGTTACTATTGGGACCAAAAGCCCCCACTGCTCAGAACTCCTGGAGCACCTTTGGGATCTGGGAATGTGCGTCCTGAAGCTTCTGTCCCGGGGACTCGGGTGTGGGGAAAGGGCCGAGAGCAAGTTGCCCCTGCCATCTGGCCGCTCTCTGCTGTCTGGTAAACCCAAGGTGAGGCAGCTAAGCAGCGTTCTCTTTTCTCGCCTTAGCTTCTCACGAGGAGCCCACGACAGGGCGTGAAGAGGGCAGAGGTCTATCTGCCTCCCCTCTAAGCTGGGGTGGGTCTCCTGGTCTCCTAATTCCCGAGGTGCCCTGGTGGAGCTCCGGCCAGCCGGTGGCAGGCAGCAGGGCGCGGCGGGGCCTCTTACCTGAAGAAGTCGTTTTTACAGTACAGCTTGCCCTCTCGGGAGAAGCACTTCTCCGAGAGGTTGGTTTTGCACTCGCAGCATTGAACACATTTAATATGCCACGCGCGGTCCAGCACGTTCAGCAGAAAGCGGTCGAGGATCGGCCGCTCACAGCCGGCACAGTGCACCATCATAGCCGCGCTCCCCGGGCGGCTCGGGCCGCCTCGTCTCCTTGGGACCCCTGGGCCCTTAGGGCCTCCCGGTCCCGGCTGCGGTGGCTTTCAGTCTCCCTGGTCTTGAGACCTCGGCAGGGGCGAGTCCGGTACGGATCAACTAAGACTTCGCGGGTTCAAGTCCTCCGACGCTCTCCGGCCTGGAGCTGCACTGCCCAGAGTGGTATGGAGGGCGGCGGCGGTCACAGTTTCATGTCACGGGTCGCGCCCGGGCGCTCGCTTCAGCCTAGAGCTGTTGTCCTAGGCGGCCGCTGGCTTCGGCGCTGGCGAGCGGCTTTCCCGGTTGGCGGAGGCGCCGGCACTTTCCCCCACTTTCAAGCGGTCCGGATCCTCATCTTTGTCTGGCCGCCGCCTAATTCGCGCATCCTTATTCAGATTTGGTGACGTGGTGCGGCACGTAGGGTGCCGGGCGGCCAATGGGCGCGCTGTGGCCATAGCAACCTCTTAAATTTATAGCATATCTAAATTGGCTACAGCGTTGCGGTCAGGACAGAGCAAAAAAAACAAGACATCAGTATTGCCGAGTATTTGCTAGTACCTGGTTCCGAGGCTAAGTAAGTATTTGCCTTCTAGTTTGGGCCTGGAGGAGTGGGGGCGCGGTCGGAAAACCGGGGTGCCTTTCCTCTCTCTTCGCAAATATTTTTTTGGGTGCAGGGTTCCAAGGCCTAGTCAGGGAGGGACCTCCCACCCAGATTGCCAACCTCGCAACCTGTAGAAGTTGCCCAGGCCGGGAAGGCGCTGTAGTTTCCCCGCTTCCGAACGCGCCCAGCTTCCTCTGGCTTAGGACTGCGGCTTGCTCGGGCTCTGAGCGCAGGAACTGAGACTCGGACTGTCTCCTGGGCTGTGGGTTCTTTTGTCACACGCGGGGCTGGGGCCCAGTCGGGCTTTTCTTACCAAGAGAGAAAGTGAAGGCCAGAAGCTTGGGTAGTTATGTGTCCCATCCTACCAGGCAGGTTGGTGTAGGGATATTTATTAACTGGTCCGGAATCCCGAAAGTCAGGTCACCCGCTCTGGGGGAGGTGTGGAGAAGAGAAGGTCTACCTCGGGTGGGTGTTTGGGCAGGTAGATAGGAGGGGCCACTCACTACGTCTTTCTATGCCACACTGTTTATATTCCAGGATAGCCTGGTGGGAACCGTGGTGAGTTGGTCACTCAGCAGAGCGAGGAAGGCTGGCTAGTGCCGGGCGCCAGCAACGCTCCCAAGTCCGAGGGCTCTAAGGTCCAGGCCGCTCCTAGGGCCAAAGGCAGCTTCGTAGGTGTGGGAGTATGGGCAGGTGTACACCGAGGGATGCGTGGGCCTGGAGAGGAGTAAAGGAACCTGGGACGGCAGGAAGGGGGAGAAAAGGCACGAGGCCTTGTTTCTGCTTGGCCAGCCAGGCCACCGCTTGTTTCCGGCAAGGTAGGATGGGAACATGCTTCCGAATGTCTGCTTGCTCCTGGTCTGAGCGCTGATGGTGCGGAGCTGGGTCCCAAGGTTTGGAGCTGGAGAGGATTTGTGCCAAGACTTGTCTGTGAATGTTTGGGTGCATTTACTGAGTTCGTTACTTATATATGCGCTGCTTGAAAACTATCGTTTTATTCTATTTATAGTGTGTTTGTGATCAAACCCTGTGACCTGGAGGGATTTTGATTATGTGTGATTTTTTTTGCGTGTAAATTTTCGTGTTTATATTTTTTGTGGTCCTGCTTGCGTGTGTGTTAATTAATGTATGTATTAAAATTGCTCGTCAGTCTGTGTCTATCTGTGTCTGCTTATGTGAGCCCGCTGGATGTCAGAGGACGTACTTGCCTGCGACAGGACGACTACATAAGGTCACTCCTATGCATGTGCTAACCCTGGTGTGAAGGGTGTGTCTGTGTAAATGTGTGTGCTGCTGCTAGAGACCCTGTGTGTGACTGAGCTGGGCTGTGTGATCTTGGGCACAGGATTTTGTAGACCCGTGTGTGTGTGTGTGGGGGGGTATTTACAGGATTGGAGGGAATGTGTTTGTGTGCATACCACTAGCAGTGATTATCTTCATGAATTGGGGGAAAAGATATGGAGAGGCCCATCAGCTGGGCCTTTGGAAAAGGGTCCCCCCAACTCAGGTAGCTTCTTATGTGGGTGTCACCTGATCACTAGTTTGTCAGGGGCACCGGCTGTGTAGTGACCAGGACCAAGCAGGCTGGATCAAACTTGGGCCTCCTAAGCCTATGGAGAGAGGTTCCAGAAGCCTCCAGAGGAAGCTGTGTGGAAGCACCCAGCTTTCCTGGACAATGAATGGGCCTTGAGCTCAAACAAGACACAGAGGAAATAGAGAAGAACTCAGGGAAGAGGGGAGCCATGCGGGGCAGAGGCAAGCCCACTGCCCTCTGCCTTTGTCTCTCCGAGGTCCCCCCTCCCCCCCATCCCCAAATTCTCCTGGATTGCTCCTCTCTTTAGCTCAGTGACTCCTCGACTCCTGTCTTCCTTGTCCCACTCTTTCCCCTCTTTCTTTCTCCATTTTCCTTCCTCTCATCTTCCCTTTTTCCCTCTGCCTCCCCCCCCCCTTTTTTTTTGCACGATTTGGAGTCTGGCTTCCATCAAAACCACTTCAAAGACCGCTTCCCATTATGCATGGCTGCTGAGAGTGGGGGGAAACCGCACACCCCAACACAACACTCTCTCAAGCCTCCTTCTCAGCACCCCGCCCCCATTATGGCCACCCACACCTTCAAGTCACAATGAGGAATCTAGTTGTCAGACCCCTCTCAAGTCAGGGTTCTGTCCAACCAGCCCTGTCTGATTCTCCACTCTCGGACGAACCCATCAGTTCACTTCTCCCGGAATGTTCCTGAATGTCAGTGTATAGCCACACTGACTATACACAGGAACTGAATGCCAGGCCAGGGAGGGAAGAGAGAGAGAGAGAGAGAGAGAGAGAGAGAGAGAGAGAGAGAGAGAGAGAGAACCTCATTGAGTCCTCAGGCCTGTCTGTGGGTGGGCCACCTAGGACTCAGCCATTGGTTGTAGCCAGTGAGGGTTGGTTGGGCTCAAAGGCTAGTAATCGCCCTTCAGAGTCACCTGGGTGCCTCACTGGACTATACAGCTCAGCCCCACTTAAGGAAACCCACCCCCATGCCAACCTGGCAGCTATGGCAGCTTTCTCCTCTCCACTACAGCACCCAGAAAAATAGCGGACCAGCTATTTTATATGTTATCCCGCCCTAACAGCACTGACAGATGGCCAGCCGGCAGTGAAATTCTCTCCTCTATGTAACTAATAAACGCTTGCGTCTTAACAGGGTGATGCGCCGAGACTCAATGTCACTTATACAAGATGTTGATGGAATTTACTATATAAAAATCTCCCTTCTAGAGTAAAGAGTATCAACATTACAGCTCGACAGACGGTGCGGGGATAAATGAAACAGACAAAAGACAAACAAGATAATAATCTGTTTCCAATCACTTAAGCCCTGTAGAGTTAGTAAAATGTTCCTTGCATATTCCCCCTTGAGTTCGGTAATTAATTACTGGCGAAGAAACGCACACCTCCCGGCTGGAGTGGGAGTTTCAAGGCCCGGAGAGCTTGGGCGTTGGGGGTGTCTTTCTCCCGTCTCCAGCTCCCCAGCCGGACAGCGGTGGAGGAAGGAGGTGCCTCTTTGCGTCGACTGAGAGGCACCTCTGCTCCTCTCCCCGTGCTTCGGAGATTCTTCAGCAGTCAAGAGAGAAAGAGGCCGGCCACTCAGAGGGACGGAGTCTTTCTAAGTCTTCCTAAGCCCCCAACCCCCATGGCCTGATTAGCTAGTTTAAAAAAAATTTTTTTTTCATTTTGTTTTTCTGTTTTTTGACAAGGAGCAGGCTGGAGGCCCGGCGCTGGCCGGGGGGAGGGGGAAGGGCGGAATCCAGGTTTGCCCCTTGCCCTCTTCTTCCGGAAGCATCTCAGGTGTAGCAGCATCCAGTTCTCTCCCGACCTCGATCATTACCTCCCCATCATGCATCCTTATCTCCCCCCCCCCCCCCCCCCCCCCCCCCCCCCCCCCCCCCGCACCACCACCAAGAGCCAGCGAAGCTTTAACATTAAACAAACGCAGCGAGCGCCTGGGAGCTGCGCTCTCGGCCGGGTCTGCGCGGCGGCGGCGGCGGCGTTACAAATTGTAAATTTAAATTGCTCTCCGGATTCATTACTTCCCCTCTTTGATTTCAGCCAGCCGTGAAAAATTATACTGGTGTACCACTGAGAAACTGTTTTGCCGCAAAGAGCCTGCGCCTAATCACTGGCTTTCTCCCTCCGACAAGAGTGTAATTATTTTGTTTTGGGTGTAAATATAGGCGGCCCTGCGCACAGACACTCAGCATCCCGCCGGGCACGGCCCGCCGCCCAGAGGCATCCGCTCGGGGTAGGAGCGGGCGTGGAGGCCAGGCCAGGGCGAAGCGCCCGCCGCGTACCAGGTCTCCAGTCTCTGCCCTAGGACTCATGAACCTCGGGCATCCAAACCTAGCTGAGTGGACTCCAGCGGTGTGGGTCAGAGCGCAGGGTTAGATCTAGAAGAATACAGTGGGATGGGAGTGGATGAGGATTCCTGGGCCACTTCAGGACCCACACACCTGAATGGAGTCCCAAGTCCAGGTCCATGTAGGGACAGTGTCCTGGTCTAAGAGGAACACGGGAGACAGAATGGGTAGGCGGGTGAGTCCTATTCGCGCAATCCTGTGGCCGACTTGGTTTCCAGTGCATCCTTGCAGAGCTCCGGGATCTCCTTTATAATTCGGAACACTCGGGAATTAACCGGCTTTTAACCGGTGCTGGCCGGACCTGGGATGTTTACAAACCGCCTGGGGTTTAATTCGTCCGCACTCCCTTTTCCATTCTTCCCGCTCTTCCTTTTGGGGTGTGGGGGAGAGCTATCCGAGCATTGGGAGATAAGCCATATTGGGAGACATGCCAGTAAGACCATTTCCCAAGACGTAGTGGAGTGCTTGATCTGAAAGACAGCGG